TGAGGAATCAACATTTATTTTCATTATCGACAAGTGATCTCACTGCCAGTACTTTCAGTTTTAAAAGGTTTTCTTACAGCAGAGTCCAAACAAAAAAGAATATTTTATCTTCCCACTAAACAGTTGCAGCACTGTGTGACCTTGAGAAAAATACTTTAGCTCGAAGCTCGTATGTGATGTGTAAACTTCAAGGGTTCTTATCAGTGACTCATCTCAGCTAAGTGTTTCTTCAACAGCTGCACAGAAAAGGTTCATTATTAAGACAATCAACGTTTCAATTACAGATTCACATAAGAAAACTGTTGTTAGCTCAATGTCAAAATAAGAAGGTGAACCTGATTTGACAGCAGGAAATCTTAATGACTGTCAAGTTAACTCCATTGAAGTCATTGCACAACTCTATAAAATCATATCTTGGTTGCTAACAATGGAGTGCTCAGTGCTGCTACTGATAGCTGAAAATAATTGATTTTCATAGTCTCGACATGTTCTCAGTAAAAAGACTTTTTTTGGTAAGTTATTTACTACAAGAAAGGGTAAACGCATCCGTGTTATTATTGGACTCTGTTAAACTGCATTTTTTCCAACATCTGAACTGTTAAGCCCGGGGCCTCTCACTAGTCTTACTGCTCTTCTCCTGTTGTTAACAGTAATGTCCACTGTGCAAATCCCATAGGTTATCATTTAGCTAAACAGTATCTTTGTTTTGCAATGTAAAAAAGAGAAACAAACAAAAATAGCTATATGTGACCTAGAGATGACTCTCTGCCAAACTCCTGTCACTAGGGAAAAGTGGTTTATTCCCCAACCAGCTGGCAAATGCTTGGTGGTGGTTGCTGGCTGTTTCTAAGTGGAATTGGTCACAAGGAGGCTGTTGTATTAAAAATGTCTTTGTGATGACTTTGGTCACTAGCAAATTGCTTCAGTTACCCATACTTTGCATGGAAAATGCTCATTTCACGTCCATACAGCATTACTACTCGGGGATTCTGACATTATCACCACATAGCTGGCATGAAGAAATCAAAATCCTTCAAACACAAATGCTAGGGCAGCCTAACATATGAAACTAAAGGTAGAGTGAATGTTATTTAATCTTAATTTAAGAAGCCCTACTGAAGGGCCCCACATAGATAAAATACTTAGATTAAGGCCATGTCCACGCTAATATGTTTTCGTTTGAAACTAAAGGTACAAACATCTTTTGCTCTCCGTTTTGGCGTCCCGTCCACACTGAGACGGCGTTTTCGTTCACGGAAAACACAGCTTTTTGAAAATGCTCTCCGAAGCGGATATATTTGAAAATGCAGTTTTTTGCGTCGCAATGTGGACAGCGAACCCGGAGCCTTTTCGAAAACGATAACACATTTTAGTCATGTGATGCAGTCGTGTGACCAATTAAACTAAGATAGCAGAGGGCCATTATACAGCAGTTGTTTTGTTTGCTGTCACTTTTGACAGCCCTATTAAAGATTAATATCAGTCAGTACATGCTCCAGATAGCTTTTCTTCAAATTCTTTAATTCTCACTCACTTTTGCAACTTTGTACTTTTGTGTTACTCGCAGCAACAACTCCACCTCATTGTCAGTCCATTTAAAAAACTCGGCGCTTTTCCTCAAAATTTTGCCACAACGTTTCAAAGAGACTGAAAGTAAATAAGCATCAGACAGAAATGAGGCAGGTTGAATCTTCTTGCGTTTCATGCATGCGCAGTACTGGAATGCAAGCATTTTCAGCTGTTTCAATGTGGATGAACAACTCTGTGAAAACAACTGAAAACGCTAGTGTGGACACGGAGCTAGTGCAGACACAGAGCTAGTGTAGACGTAGCCTAAGGCAGCACAAAGTAGCGTGCCAATGTGTGAAGAGACAATTCTTTAGTCCAGTGTTGGGTGACTAAAAAACATGCTTTATTAGCCTAGGACGAGAACATTTTAAAGAGATAGCTATAACAGCTTTATTTGTATTGTACATTTCATTATGTGTAAACTCAATAAGCTTAACAGAGAAGACAAAAACATAAAAACTAGTGCAGGTTATAACATCTTAAGGCAGCAAAAGCAGTACAAACAAAACAAAACAACAGCACCTATCAAATGTGCGTTTGAAAGAATAAAAAGGTTTTAATTTTGTTTGTGAATATGTGCAAAGTTTTAATTGATCTTAAGTCAGCAGGAAGTTTGTTCCACAGAACAGGACCACAATAACTGAAAGCACCTTCAGAAGGCCGACAGACTGACAGCTTTGTGAACTAAAGGAAGGATTTTAAAAGTAATTCTTCATTTTACTGGGAGCCACTGGGAGAGGTAACGTGTTTCCACCTACCTGTAAGGATTCTGGCTGCTGCATTTTGAAGTCATCCTAATGTCTCAGTTCCAAAAAGCTTTGAGACATCCAGCATTTAATGTCATCAATGCAGCTTGTTAATATGTGAGGAGAGCTTAGATCAGATTAGATGCTGATGTAAAATTCCAATTCTATACAGCCCCACATTTAAAAAAAGGTGTTAGAATTAGTCTTAATACCCACAGGTGCAGGTTTTCTGCAGATGTACTGCTCTTATTTTGCATTTTTATGTAATATTTATGAGGTGCATACAATTGTCAGTGTCAGATTTACCTTTAAATAGTTAATATATTTTGGTAATTCTGGCAGAAAAAATCTTTCCAAAGGTCAGTTTTTGGATGTGAGATGAAGAATGTTATATTATTTCCAACTCACTGAATGTGCAGAATGAATAAAGCGAGAACTCTCTGGGCGATTTACACTCTCACACCTGTGTTATGCCTCGTCTTGCTCTTTAAAGGCTCTGGGGTGTGAAGCAGCGCCCTAGTATGGATCACTTCAATGTTAATTGTAGGTTGGACCAGAGTGGCATCATTTGCATGTGAAATACTCTTTTTTAACTAACAGCACCTTGAAATCAGCCTGCATAGTATCTTTTTATTGGCCTCTTCTGGCCTTAACAGTCTGTCCAAGTTACTCAGGTCTTTACATCTGTCCAGTTCGCAAGCATTCATGGCTTCTAACACAGTGATGAAGACTGCCTGGTGACTTACTGTCAAATAAAAATAAAAGCAACTTTATCTGTGTGTGGTCATAATATTTTAGTTCATTAGTATATTTGTAACAGATTTAATTAGAAGATGTTTTTTACGCAGTGTGGACACCAGAAAGCGCCTGAAAACTGCACTCAATCGTTTTTCTAACCTTGATCACATGGTATCAAATTAGAGTCTTAAATTTAAAGCTTTACATAATCCTGCATTCAAATGAAACGCAATCAAAGCATAGTGTGTAAATGTTGCTATGACAATAACTCAACTCAATCTCGTTCAGCTGAGATAAAGCTGCTAATTTGGAGTCTTGCACCAAGCTGCCTAAATCAGTGTTAAGTTGATGGATGAGAAAACAGAG